CCCCAAAACCCCAAAACCCCAAAACCCCTAATTGCTAAAATTTAATTGAAAATAAAATACATGCATTTCAATATGAAAGCAGGAAAGATCTTCTTAGCTCTCTTAGCCCTCTCAGCCCTCTCTTGAGTCTCTTGTTCAGGTAAATTATAGGATTAATTTATAGGGGTTCAGGACCAGCTGGCTCACCCGATCTATAAAATTAAGCAAGAGAGTGAGTCCCAATTAAGTTTTGATAATTGAAGATATTGCATCTCCTCAGAATTTTGAAAAGCTTGTAAATCTGTTTCTAGTATTTATGGAACTACAATGTCTCTCTGCTCTAAAGTTTCTGGAGATAACCCAAGCTGTGTTGAGAGTGAGCAGAATAAATGTACCAGTTTTGATCCTAAAATCGAAGATAACCTTCTTTGCCCAACAACATGTAGCTCTAAATAAATTCATGATTGGTTCAGACGAAAAAGTTCCGTATGAATCATCTGGATATGGCACTGGGGATATCTGTCAATACAAGATCACAGCAGATGATAAGCTTGATTCTTTCTCGTTAAAAATAGTTTCTAAAGAGTCTAAGGCCCAATACACCCTCTTCTCGCAGGACGATCAATTCAATCTCAAGAAAATAGGTAGTTTTTACCAAGGCGAAATCAGAGCTTACAGTAAATTCAATAAGAATTTTATATTACTCATTTTGCCAAAGGAAGAGAACAGCAAGGTTAATTTCCAGATCGAGAGTGGTCGCAAGAAGAATAATGTCGAACGTGAAACCCATGTATTCCTCATAGTTTTTGCCATATTATTCTCTATCTGGCTCTGTGCTATTGCTGGGTTTCTGGTTTATTACTTCTTTTTCAGGAATAGAGGGAAGTATCTCCCTCAAATCGATTCCGACGATACTTATGATGGCAGCTTAACTGGCAGGAGTCAGAGACAAGTGCCTGATAACTTTTATACAATACGAGATGAATTCAGTAAATTTCTCCCTAAACTTTCTAGAAACTAATGATCTGAAATCAAAATTCATCCATAGTAAAACTGAGTACAGAAAATTACGCGACAAAATCTACCAAACTTTGATGACACAACGAACAGAGAGCACCACTAAACAAATTAACCAAGACTCTAGAGAATTCGAAGCAAACGTGATTGCTGGCAACAGTGCTAGAGCATTGTTCAACTTCTTAAGATCAAATGAGGAAAATAAGCAGAATGGGAAGACTTATCCTCCATGTTTGTTCATGCCGACAGAGTCAGACTTCTTCGATCCTAAATAAGACTAGGTTTTCCAAGATTCTAAAGAACAAAATTTATAGAAACCATGGAGTCCACAGAGCAAAAAGTTATGTAAATATAATCTTTAAAGACAGAAGTATTGCTGAGAAGGTTGACCATTGAGTCAAGAAGTTTAAGAAGAACGAGGAAACAGATGAAATTGTACTAGATCTCCTTCAAATTTCAGAATTTCGTTATATCTTGTCAATGGCAATAATCTTTGATACTATTCAGACTTTAGGGTATAAATTAGATATGGTGTTCACCAGGGAATTCGAGAAAATATCTACAGGAAGTTATACATTTGTCCTTGACCAATGAGGATGATACCTTAACCTTCTGATGAAAGCAATAGAGAACTACTCGGAGAAGGCTAATCATGCTAAGATAGAAGGGCATATAGCAAATTTAGATGTAAAGCAGATGAAAAATTTTGCTTTACATGATACCATTTTCTGAGCAACATTTTTCAACTGTTTCAAAAAGGAAAACTACAAAGAGGAGAAAGGGGAGGTCAAAGTAATTTTTGGAGATAACCTCAACCAATTTGTCAGATTAGAGAAAGTATCAAGTGCAATAGACACTAAAGAAGAGAATGAAACTTTAGTTAATGCATACCTAACCTTCCAGGTATGCGAAAATCAAGAGAATAAGCTGTTTATTAAAGCTATGTAGCTTCAATTTTGAACTATTTTTGAGGGGTTTTGGGGTTTTGGGGTTTTGGGGTTTTGGGGTTTTGGGG